GAGATGATCGCCGTCATCCGCCAATTCCACGACGGAATGCGGGCGCGGGTGCGGATGGACGACGGAGAGTTTTCGGCCTGGTTCTTGGTCACACAAGGCCTACGACAAGGGTGTGCACTGTCCCCACTGCTGTTCAATATCTTCTTCGCCGCGGTCATCGAGGTCGTTGCCATTCGATTCAGCGAGGATGGTGTTATTCTGGAGAACCTCGTGTACCTGGAGGAGGAGACGGGAGCAGGGGCGAGGACACCACTTGACCGAGTGTGGAGGGCGGTATGGGGGATGCTGTATGCCGATGACGCCGGCGTCGTATCGAGGTCTGCCGAAAGACTGGCGAGAATGATGAACGTCATCGTGGAGGTGTTCGGGAGTTCGGGCTGACGGTATCGGAGAAGAAGACGGAGACGTTCTTGATGCGCGCAAAGGAGAAGCACACAACAACACCACCGCCCCCCCCGCCGCCACCGCTGATCATCGAGGCAGCAGGGCAGAGGTATGCCCAGACGCCTGAATTCCGGTACCTAGGTGGCCTCGTCAACGAACATGGCGACCTCACCCGTGAGATCAATACCGGAGCAGAACGGCGTGGGCATGCGTCAGGAGATATAGCCAGGAGCTCGTCGACAGGCCGAAAGCACCGTTCCGACTGAAGACTCGCCTGCTCCAGGCCGAGGCGATGGAGGCACTGCTGTACGGCTGCATAACATGGGCCCCACGTTAAGACCAATACCGGACGTTGCGGACGATACACCACCGACTGCTCCTGCGAGTTATCGGTTACCAACGCAAGAAGGGCACCTACCGGCAGCTTTCCTACGCCCAGACCCTGAAGAGGGTAGGGTGCCAGAGCGTGGAAACCACTATCCGGCAACGGCGCCTGCTGTTCGCGGGAGCGCTGGTAAGGTAGCCAGGCGGACGACTCCCGAAAAGGGTGATGCTTGGCGAACTGGTGGGGGGGGAGGGCCCAGGCAGAGGGAAACCGGAGCAAAACTGGCAGATGTGCCTGAAGGACGACCTCAAGATGTTCGAAGCAGAGCACGGATCTACGGACGCCGAGCCATGCTTCTTTCGAGTCCCGGAAACAACTTGGATGGAAGCAGCGAAGGTAAACGGGGGGGTACCGTGGCATACAGGGGTACTGCAGGGAGCTAAGAGGTTCATGGCCTCCTGGCACAAGAAGGAAGAGGAGGCTAGCCGACAACGAGCGCTCAAACGAAACAAAAAGCCCGACAACACGGACACGGCAACAACCACGGGGGTGGGAGGGGTACAGCAGGCGGACGAGACGGCGAGGAAAGGCAGGAAACACGAAGAGGCTGGCCGAGTGGCGCGAAACACCGTGCCGAAATGAACCTCTTGCTTGACTTATCTCCCCCCCCCCCCCCCCCCAGCACTGCACCATTGCACCAACCCCCCGCGAGCGATGACGTGCATGAGCGGGCTCGAGTGGCCCGCTTTATCTTGTGTTGTTTTGGGTTGTTCTGTTTGTTTGTTTGTTGTTTGTCGCTGAGGCGTGTGTCTTTCTCTGTCTGTGTCGTTCTCTTTCCCTTTGCTTCTCTACATCTGCTCTATTCCTTTCTTCTTCTTTTGCTTTTCCTTTTTCTTTTTCCCGTTCTTTTTCTTTTTCTTTTTCGTTTTACTTTTTCTATCTTCTTCCAATCTATAGGGTTACCTCGCATAGCGTACAGAGAGGCGAGCGGAGTGGTCTAGACTATCTGTCGTTGACTTTTATTGGCTAGCGGACCCTTCGGGTCCGTTTTATTTTCGTATTCCTTTTTTTGGGTAAGTTAGCCTGTGACCACGGGAATCGACCCAGCCAAGCGTTAGACTAGTACGGGCAGAAGAAGGTGAGCAGAGAGAACGGAACGGTTTTTAATGTGAAGACAACAACAACATAATGGTGGTCGAGTAGATCATGTTGTGCGGGGTCGAGAACCTTCACTCCGGGGGGTGATCGCACCACGTTGGGCTAAATTGGTTAAGCAGTTACACAGCAGTGCTTACAACTGTCTCTGGAAGTGAAAGCACCAGAAAATAAATTAAGTCATACGCAGCGGTCATCCGTACGCAAGGAAGCATGCACAAGATGCCGAACATCCTTTGCAGGATGCAACGCACCCGTCATGCGACCCACCGAATACCTCACGGTGCTTCGCGCTTGGTGATGTGAGAGCCTGGTCCGGTGAGAACCCGTCGTGCCCGTCCCGGCTTTGTAGGGATGCGAGGTCAATGGTCTAGCGACTACGGTATGCGCGACTATGAGTACACCCCCCCCCCCTCCTCCCCTCTCTAGTCTACATGGGAGGTCCTTCTGTGTCGTCGGCGCTGCGCTACACCGAGTTAGAATTCTACAGCATCTCAACCCAGGAGGCCGTGGCAAGTCTCTCACCGGTTCCCGGTGCGTACAATATACCCAGTCGTGTGTGCTTTGCTCTCTGGCTATAGCGTGTTCCAGAAGCCGCAATAGATCTGCAACAAACTCCGCTTGCCAGGGAGCCGGGGTGACTACGGAAGTCAATCCCTCATGCTGTAAGTTCAGTGCATTCGTATGCGAAGCGAGGGCGAAAACACGTAGCCAGGCCGGGCGACGAATATCGTTGCGTCGTCTTTTTTCACCAGGTGAAGGGGTCAAGGTACCGTCGGCAATCAGCCTTCCCGTCTCTCCTTGTAAATAAACGTGCCTCACTGACGGGTGCTTGCTTCTTGCCGAACCGGCGGTTAGATCACAAAGGTAGAAGGTTTGGAAAATGTGTGCTGTCCACACCCTTGTCAAGCAAACATGAAGCGCATTGGTCTGCAACGCTGCATCCACTCAACTGGATTGTCTTCCTTGTGAGCACATTTAACCATTTGGCTCGATGCCACTTCAAAACAAAACTGATGTGCAAGTATGCCTACGCCCAAAGTCAATGGTCATGCAGACAGCAGCTGGTGCAGAGACGCAGGTGCTTTCCTGCGCCTCTATGCCCATGGTAGAGGAGGAATCTTGTCTTTTACCAACGAAGTGGCGCTAAAGCAGTCGAGTAACTTGTACAACATTGACTTGAACGAGAAGAGGATAATGAGCGGCCCTTGGACCTCCAGCACGCACAAAGAGCTCCCACCCCTGCACGCACCGCCACAGCAACGGCTACATAAATGCTGGCCAACACTCTCCGCCCTTACCGACAACTACCCCATCACCACGACTGAGAACCTGGGTACAAGCCACGCCGCTGCGTTGGTGTGTGTCCTTGCGGTGTTTTTGTTCCGTGTTTGTTTCTCTCCGCTGCTCTGCTGTATCCTGACAGGGTTTTCAGGGCAAAAAATTGGAAAAATTGGATCAAAGGCGATCACGAAACCAACCTTACCTCAGAGGGAAATCGGCGAGACCCCGCGTGAGACCACCCCGCTCAAGTGATGTGGCTGGATTTTCTACTCGTGCCCACGCTTTGCCCTGTTTCCAAGCGCCCGTGCTGTTGTGGATTGCCACACCATGGCACAAAACAAAGAAAAGCGGCACGACATTTTTCATGCACGTCGATCATGCCGCAACCGCACCCCGCGGATGTACAATAGTTGGTGGCCCACCCCCCTTACAATATCACGACCCCCCCCATAATGCCATGTGAAGAGCAGCAGCAGCACAGCAGGCAGGAGCCGAGAGAGCGCGCCGTTGCCGCTTTTCTCGCCTAGCCTCGTTGCAGATATCGAGTCTATCTTGGCTTGAGCTGTGTCGGACTGCTTGCGGGCCTGTCTTCCGGCCAGATGATGACGAAGATTGTACGCTCTGTCCTTGCGGCAGCGGTCGTGATTGCGTTGATCTGCGGTCCAGGGGATGCGTTTGTTGTAGGCGCGGGCCGGGGGCTGGCTCCAGGGCGACCAGTGCATGCGACTACGTCGGTAAGTGTGCCCTCAAAGCTTGTTTCCAGCACATGTAGGGTGGATGCAGTCCGTCGCTTGCATGTGTCGGTACATATTCGCTGGTGGGTTGGCTGTCTGTCTCTCTGTCTTGTTGCAACGTGTCGGGCCGTGCGTGCGGCGCACCTGATAAGTTGTAGTTTGGCTCGCATCATGTGTTGCATGCTCCAATCCCATAACGTCTGGCTTCCAGCCGGCTGTGTACTCTCCACATGTTGACAGGGGGGAACCCACTCACTCACATCTTGGGATCGCCGCCAATGTTGGGTAGCGATTTATGTGTTGTGGCCGTTGCTGCTTGCTCTCTCATGAGCATGCAGGGAACATCTTGCATCTTGGGATCGCCGAGGGTGGGCGCTGTCTACATGTATAGCTCAGGCGTCTACTGCTCTCTTGTATCTCATTTGGTGTCCCTGCACAGCACCATTGGTCGCAACTGCTGTGGAATGAATGTCTAACAATTGAGCTCAGCCACAGGTGGCGTTTACATTGGTGCTCACCCACATTCAATGGCGACGCCTCTTTGGCATCCAGTGTTTTTCTTCGCAAACCGCATGCCGGTTTTGAAGCATCGACAACACACCCGAACACTGGTGTAGACGAAAGCGCCAGTTCATAAGAACATGATTGCTGTTTTACCGCAATGGGTACGACTGATTTTCGCATTTACCTCATCGCATGTAGCAATCTAGTCTAGATTCATCATGCACATTCATACCCATTCCGAGCTCGCCGGCGTACCTCGGCAAGCGGATGCCTGCACCACAGCAGGGGCAGTGCTATTCTACGAAAGTGCCGCACTGCATGGGGTGCTGTTCGCATGCATACTTGTAGGCTCCAAGCAGCCGGGGGTTCGCATCCGCCGCCGTTCACTCGGACAACGTCCAACCTGAACTCAGTCCAGACAATAGTTTCCCCTCCCGTTCACCGTACGGGTCAGCAGAGAAGAGTTTGTCTCCAAAGTACGAGCAAAGTCACATCACAACAGACCCCAAGGAAACCCTACTGATGTGGTACAATCCCCTGCCCCTCTCGGCCTCCGCCAGGCATTCGCCCCCGCTTGCTGTAGTAGCCCGCCCAGAGGTCGACCTGCGGGCGGAATGACGTTCCGGGCCTCCCTATCAAGCACGCCGGCATTCCACGGTAGGAACCGGAAAGCTATGTCGACACGGAGGTTGGGCTTCCGGGAAGGTGAAGGGGGGATGAACGAGGGAGGGCGCAACGGGGGCGCCGTCGGTGGGAAGGAGGGAGGTGGGGAGGGGGAGGCTGTTGCAGCGCGGCGCACCCGCTTCGCTCGGCCTGCGGCGGTTTTGCGGTTTGTGCGGCAAGCGGTGGAGCGCGGGGTCAGCAAGTCCAGGTGATTGTTAACCACCTAATGACGGGGTGCGCCCCCCCCCTGCCCCCGATACATGTCGTGTACCGTGTTTCACGCAGTCGTGCTCTGCGCTCGTGTGTGCTTGCTACTGCCTGCCATGTGTTTGGAGACGACGTAGAAAGAGTTGTGGCCGTTTCCGCCAAAGAGTGTAGACGTTTCCAGTTCTTCCCGGACTAGCTTTATTGTTGGGAGGTTGTCGTTCGACCTTCCAACATTTGGGGGCATGGCAGGAGTGCTTCGAGATCGGAGACACGATGTTCCGCTGAGTGGCGTGTGCCTGTTGTGGGTGCTCTGGGAGTTTGAGTTGATTTTTGATCATCTTGGGCTGTCTCTCCAGCCATTAGACTATTCTCGCGCTGGTCAAATGTGAGTAGCTAGCGGGGGGAGGGCTCCATTTCCCGGCATCAGTCATGTTAATTTGCGAGAAACGGTGATCGCTCCTCGCCCTCCACAGTTGCTAGTGCTGGATTTGCCATGGAAACGTTTTTTTTCGGCGGAAAGCTTTGCGTGAGGCGGGTTTGGTTCGTGTCCATGTTTCCCTCCTGACGCAGTCCCGATAGGGTGCCCTCGAGTGCTTTGTGGTTTGGACGGGGTTGTTGTTTTGCTGGGACTATGATTCAGAGTTCGACTGGCGACGGACTCTTTTGCAGTGGTCTCTTGGTTTCTTGTCCGGTTCGTCTGGTGCGATGGGTGGTTTCAGGCGGGGTTGTTGGGTGATGTCATGGTTGAGTTGCACGGCGGTCCGGTTGGTCCGTTTGTGGTGGCTGGCGAGGAGCTGCCTATGGCCGCGGCGGCGGCGGCTGGGTGTACACTAGGAGCAACCAACAGCTAGGTGTATGCAAGTCTCACCGTCAGGTACGCCGGGTACCCTAGGCGAACCCACCCCGATCCAAACAGCATCCCCCTGTTGCTTGGCGCTCATTACCGCTGGGAGAACGGGAAAAACAAACGTATTTTTGTGTCTTGCTTTGCATCTGGCCTTCCTTCAGCCTCTAACTCGTTCTCCCCCCCTGTGACGCGTTCTGGGCATCTCAGCAAGGGGACGAGGGCGCGAGTCGCTGCGTGGCGCCGAAGGATGTCGGTGGCCTTAATCGGTGTTGCCGCTGCCGTGATGATGATGACCGCCTCGGCCGGCCCGGCCCAGGCGCTGTTCGGGATTGGTGGTAGGAAGGAGGCGCCTGTGACTCGCCTCACCTACATGCCGGAGAGCATCTACCAAGAGCGGGAAGAGCTGCAGAAGTTTGTAAGTCTAAAGTGGATTGCCACTTTTTCCGCATTTTGCACCTGAGTGATGCACGTTTTCTTTCGGCTTCCCCCTTTTTTTTTTTGCTTTTGTTCAAGCGGCGGCACTCGCACGCAACCAGAGCGCTGTTGGACATGGATGAAAACCTAACCCTTGTCGGATCAAACAGGCAGCTTCACGAAAATCTTCGCGTGGTGCCGGAAAGGGGATTGCGTTTGGTGGGATCGTGGAATTTGTGCTCTTTCAGCCCTGTCGGGCCGTTTGATTGCTTTGATATTTCACGCGTGCGGCCTGTTTGATTTTCGGCATCTATGCATACGTCGCGAGTAGGCAGGAGTAACAGCAACTTGTGAACGGCAGCCCGCCCGAGCTTTCTCTACTACGCCTCATGTTTTGCGGTCTTCTTGAGCTTTCGCGGCACCATAATATTCGGAAGTCGATGTCATCAAGGTCAGCGGCACGCCCACCGCCGGTGGATTGACGGGTTGGTAGATACATAGGTCGTAGCCGTGCTGCCTCGAATGAGGCAATGGACAATGAGAGTACGCTAAAAACTTGTAACGGTCTGTTCTTCTGTTTTTTGCGCCCTGCGTACTGTACACGGATCGGTTTGCGTGATAAATCACTATCAGGTTAAGATCAGACTGAATAGGTGCCAAGAACGCCCCCATTGGTCGGCTCGAGTAAGAACCGTTTCCGAAAAATCGCCTGCTTAATGGGTGTCCAAGAACCGCGATAGCACTTTCGCCATAGAGACAAGTGTCATTGTACCCCACGAGCTGGACCTTTGGTTTCGTTCGAATGGCCTTTGAGTGAGACCCTTGCGACATCAACGGCCGTGCGGCAAGAATGTAGTCGTGGATCGGCTCCGGGGATGCGGCATGTTGACCATCTGCAATAAACATTTCTGCATCGTCGTGTGTGCGTGTACCCTTGTCTGAATGCTGATGGGTCTGATTTTCTGGGAAGGTTGGGGGGTGGTGTTGTGTACCGCGAGCAAGAGATTGCTTTGGCACCACCCAGTCTTCTGCGCTAGTGCCCCGCTGCGTGTATGCATTCCCTCTGCATGAGCTGTGCCCATCTCCATGTTTGAAGTGTGGTCTCGTCCTGGCCAAATTCGGGTGAATTTTCATCTTCACGCACCCTCGTTGTGTATGATGATATCGTCAGACATCTCCAAAGATGTTGCACAATGAACTGATTTTAGTTTAATGTTCTCTTGTCGCCCCTGGCTGCCGCGTCTGTGTTGGTGCCCCACTCCTCCCACGTTTACGAGCCACCCATAGAAAGTAAAAAGGAACGGTTGGCCATCGGTGATCGGTCCTGTGGGAACAATGCTCCGGTGGGAACAATTCTCTGTCCTCTCGAGGACGCGTGGTCAATGCTCCTCTAACCGCTAAGGCATGCGAAACCTCAGAGTACGCCCCCCCCCACTCCTCCCTCCGTGTGATGCCCTCCGCGATGATGGGTGTGCTCGTGTGGGCGCGCCATGCGTCTTGTCTACCCCTTGCCAGTGCGAGACGCCCCAGCAAGACCGGTTGTTCGACTCCAACGACATGACCGCGTTCGAGGAGGAACTGGACGGGTGAGGAGACACCAATTTGGCCTCCCCAAATGTTCACGAGCTTTCAATGTGTAAATCCGGTCGCCTGAACGTTTCTACGACGTTTCTGAGAAAATACGCGCCGTCGAGAAGCCAAAAATGTTTCCTGAGTTGGGCCTTGCATGTATATACATGCGGGCTGTGCAGGCAACCAACACGTCGACGGTGCTCCCAGCGAACCCATGGATCCCCCGATCTCAAAGGAAAAAAACCTCCCTTCGCCCCCCTCGCTTTCTTGGTCCAGGATTGACATGTTCTCGAACAAAGTCGCTCCTAGCTACGGGGCGCGGGAGTCGTTCCGCCTAAAGTACGCTCGGTGAGTCGATGGTATGTGTTTATCACTCAGGAGCACGTTTCTTTATCCTGGATGATGTTTCCAAGGTACCTGCCGATAGGAACAAGGTGGTGGCTGGCTTGTTTGCCTTTCTCGTTCTTTATCCTGGATGATGTTTCCAAGGTACCTGCCGATAGGAACAAGGTGGTGGCTGGCTTGTTTGCCTTTCTCGACTACTGAGGCGTTTAAGTTTTCGTGTCTTGCCGAAACAAGGTCTCGAAATGCGGCGGGGGTCTGATTCGTCTTGGGGATGTTTATTGTCGTCTGGGCGGCGTGCGCTCTTGCTACCATTCCTTCTCGTGGGCCTTTCTTGTACGGTCGCCTGTTCGTGCGGAGAGTTGCGCTTGTTATGTTCTGTTGCTGTCGCTTCTCCTCCGCTCCAAGTTTGGCCTGAGGCTGGTCTTGCCGTGTGTTTGTGTCAGAAGGTGGCCAGCCCTTCGTCTACAGCACTTGGTAGCACCGGTGGAAGACCGGTTTTGCGCTTGTGGCAGTCCTTATCGAGTCCGAGTGTGCATTTCTGGAACAATGTTCGGGTATCGACAATTGCCTCAATAGCTCCCCGAGGCACACCCAAGCATTGAGTCGACGGATCCATTTTTTGAGCATGGTGGGCAGGAAGCCGAAAGCGTTGGAGAGCCTCACCACTACGAGTGGATCGTAACAACAATCGCGCTCCGACCGTGTGCAAGTACACCAGTTGATGCATCGAGATGCTGACAAACTTTTGGGTGTCGCAGCCATGCCATAAATGCGTGAATGAAGCACACGTGGTTGGGCCAACCATCGTGCTGAAGTACATTATTTGCGGTAGTTTTCCTGATAGCTGCACAACGCCTCAAGTTCTACATACGACAAGACCCGCGGAAGAGGAATCATTTTGTAGGCCCTGGTTTAGTTGTTGTCCCGATGACGATCACGACCGCACGCACACCCCGAGATCGACCGCCTTTGTTTTTTTCCTGCATGTCGTGCCTGGCGATCGAAATTCACGGACGCAGCCATGTTGAAGACTTCATAGCAATGGATGAAGGAAAACTGGCTACCGGGTCTTTCGGAGTCGCCAGTTTCGCCCTCATAGGCGGCCTTGCGGTGGTCGGTAAGGCGGGATTTACTAGGTGCAGAATCTGATTCTTACGCAGCACAAGTTTTTTTTTTCGCGATATCCTCGTCGCCGTGTAGCGCCCATGCATACCTAGCTTCGCGGGGGCTCACTCGCGTATGTTGGACGCTTGTCCGAGATGGGATTACACGTCGAATTTTCTCGTACCAGCGCGTACCCCCGCGGTATGCAGGAGACTGGCACGGGTTGCATATGGGTATTTGTAAGTTCGGCGGGTGAAAGGAAATCGCCATGGGAGTGGCCCAGCACACCCCAGGAAGGTGCCGTCAAGGCGCCGACCACTTGGCCCTGTCGTGCCTCTGGAGACGGACGTGCACATGCGCGCGTTGCGCTCTACCCACACGGAGCCTAGTCTACCCTGCAACTTGTTTTCGTGTGGGTCGCTGTGCCACGGGAGTCGGGCAACGGATGCTAGTTGTGCATTATGTCTATCCTTGAGCACCTGGGTTTCTCTTACTCGCTGAAGGACACCACCGGGCGTACTTGATTCTGCAATCTTTCGGCACTTTGGCTTTGTGGGCTAGCCCGAACCACGTCGTTCACCTCTCGCCCCCTACCCTCCTAGCTTCGTTTTTATTGTTTTTTTCGTGGGTTTGGCAAACCTGTATACCCGACCCCCTGTCAGCGTGTTGTGCGGAGCCCCCCTCTAACCACGAACTTGTTTCGTCGCCCCCTGGTCAGTTGGTGGTACCGTGCTTGGCGGCTTTACTTGGGCGTGCAGGGCTTTCATAAACATGGCACGGGAGGTGAGCGATCTCGCAGAGGGTTCCCCTGACGATGCCGTACATGCTTTCGACGGGAGTGCTCTCTCTAGTTGATGTTGCGGTGCTGCTGTTGCGATCCGGTCATCCGTCGTGGTGGGTTGATTATTGTCGATGGCTTCCTTTCCCGAGCTGCCTGAAAGGTGATTGAAAGAGTACTGCACAGCAGCAGAGTTCTCGTTCGACTCTCCGGGAGCGCGCGGCTGCTGCTATTTATTTAGTGGTTTTGCTCTAGCGTTGCCCTCTTTATCCTGGCTGAAGCGCAATTGTTGGTCCTGAACGCATGTCCTTCCAATTGTTTGACTCTTTTTTCAGGAGAAGTATGCTTTTGTTTTTTGTGGTTGCTGGTGTCTCGACTGTGTGGCGTTGCCCGTGTGTGGCTGGTGTTTTCTTCACGAGCAACAAGGTCGGTCTTCTATTGCTCACCGTGGAGTGCTTTTAAGTTAATGTGTGCCCCACGGCGCTATGTGGTGCAATGTTTTCTGGTGTTCTTGGCACACTCCCGTACGTACGGACTGAACCTTCTACCGCCCAGCATAGAAGAACATAGTCTTGAATCTCTTTTTGCGAGTGGGACACCGTGCGCAATATCCGACCTGGAACAAGCATCGCGGCGACTCTTCTACGCTGCTGCTTTGAAGATGCGTGTAGAGAACCTCATGTTTGTTCACCTGTGCCTTGAGATACTGTAGTCGTCAAATCACACGCAACAAAACACGAAATAAGACACGGACTCTTAGGCGCGATACAACGGATTGCCGCGCCGCGAAGAACCTTGCTTTTATAGGCTACAGCTCGAGAGTCTTGCGGACTTTTTTTGCCGGAATCTGCGCACCCTCTTGTGCGACGACCCCCACGCTGAGGTTGCTTTTTCTTTTGTCTCGTCCTTTGTTTTATTTGTTCTCGCCCCAGTGCCAACTCAAAGCACTGTGCCAACTCTATGCATCTGTACTGCACCAGCCGTGCCAACACTGTTATATTCAATCGCCCCAACTGGCCACACTTTCGGGAGTGGTTGCTGTGCTCGCAGCTTGTTCGGACCAGTTCGTGTTCACTCACCACCCGCCGGATCGTCATGTGAAAGCAACATTGGGCTCTGGCCGTCACCTTTTCTTTTTTTCGTCTTCGGCAGCGATTGTCGACTACGACCGGGTCGATTATCAAAATGTTTACGCACCGACCGCCGTTTTTCATTTTTTTTTCTGTTTGCTTGCTTTGTTTTGTCTCGCTGAACAGGAGGAAATTTTCCTCTACGGGGAAGAGATCAGCGTTGACGCTACCGAAAAGCCAGACGAGGTGCGTCTGTTCCGACACTTTCATTCTTCAAGTTGTGATACATACGCAGCAGGGTATGAACTTCACAACAATCTGTTCTGCCAGTTCTCCGGTGGAGTTGCCCTTTTGTTCAGAGTTGGAAATCCACGCTGCCGTGCATGCCTCCCTGTGGGATTCGTCATGTCTTGGAAATGTTAGCCCGCCCCCTTGTCTGCTTCTTTTTTTGGGTTCTCTCACCTGCCTGTACTGGTGCTAGAGATTGCTCCGGCAGTCTCAGTAGGTAGTGGTCCGGTCGTGGCGAACAGCTGTCGCTAGTCGAAAGACGTCGATCGCGGGTCGGACTCCCTTGAATATGTGTTTGAACAATATATTAAGTAGATCCCCAACTCGGAACCCTATCCACAACCAAGTTTGGTTCTTGAGCATTTTGCCCATTACATGCAACGCGATCGCATACTGTCATTCCTGGGCTTGAAGCGTGTTGCAATCTGAATGCAGCCAGTTACCTTTGACGCCCCCCCGAGCTTTTGGGTTTGATGTAGCGCAGCTGCGTGTCAGTACCGCACCCGACAGCGCTACTGTATCATGCCATCTAAAACCCAGAAATGTGAACACCCCGCGTTTTCGACTTGTGGTACGTTCTGTGTTGGGCTCTCGTGATGTTTGTGTCTTCCTTCTGCCCCTCTTTGGTTCGGCAAGGAACTGGACGATCTGGACGAAGACTTCGACCTGGACGACGATGACATGGAAGACTACAGCGCACCTGGTTCTGCATCCGGGGCTGGCGGCAACCCTCCCCCCCCCTCGACGCCTCCTTCGGGTAGTGGGGGCGACGGGGATGCCGGTGGCGCCGACTCGAGTGGAGATGACCTGTTGGGCATGTAACGTGCGGGCGCCATCGAAGGCCTGGTTTTGGTACTGTACCCCCGTCCCGATGGCCCGATGGCTTGGGCCACGCGCGGAATAGCGTTGATGATTTCGCAACAGCACTCTGCTCTGTTCAGCGGAAACCCATGCTGGTTTTTGTTGACTCGCAGAGCGAAGGGATGCCCCTTCATGTGGCTCTTCAGACAAGCGATTAGCGACATGTGGAGACCGAGAAAGTAGCCGAAATTCCAACGATTCCCTCCTTAAGGTCTGTCGCACTAATGTAGGAGATTGAGAGTTTATTGCCCACTTTGACTCCTGAGCGTGAAGTCGATCCGAGTATGGCCAGCGGCTTTCAGGTCAAATCGTTCGTCCGGCGTTCGTAGAGATGATCAAAACAGTGTTCCCGATCAAGGGAAGAGATTAGTGAAGCCGCTGGCAACGTGCATGCAAACCACTAAGAAACTGTATCGTACCAATATTTTCAAGCCCCCTACGGGATCGGGTTTCTGTCCCCACTAATATGCCCTCTGAATACAGCAGTTCTACGCTAGATCGCTAGAAGACACATCTTGGAAGCAGCTTTTTCCCAATTCCAAATTGGAGTCTCAGCAGCACCATCAAAGAGTAGAAATGCGACCGGGAAAATTGTCACAACACATGACAACGATTTTCTCTATGCTCACGAACTTCCGGGCCGTGCCTTATTGGCGGTGACCAAGGGTGACCAAAATCTCTTAAGCCCGCAGTCTCACGGCTCGCCTCGTCGAGTTGACGGAATGCCGCCGGCCTCCGTGCAACGGGCCGTTTCAACTCAAAGTGATTCCAGAGCGCCACATAATAACCAACTCATATTTCAGGCAGGGGGAGACTCGCGGCTTACTCAACGGCTACAACGGAGGTTCGCAAATCGATTTTGGCCGGTTTCGAAGGGCCGCGACAGACCAAATCTAGTTTGGCATCGGATTGATGTTGGGATGTGGTGTGGAGGGATGGGTGGTTTGTTGTGCCGTGGGCATGGTGAAGTTGAGTTGACGTCAGTTCAGTCAGGGTGTGTTACTTGAACCTTTGCCTGGTAGTTTCTTCGGGTCCGATCGGGTCGCTCAGGTGGTCTTTGGGGGGCCGGCCGTCTTCGTCGATCACGCCGTTATGGCTCCTCCGTCATTCCTTGCCGTCGCCGTCAAATCCCGTTGTGTGTTGGAGAACAGGCACAGCTCCGCCAAGGCGGGCCGAGACTGGAAAATCTTGTGTGTTGCTTCACTTGTGGTGCCCCAGTAAGCTACTGTCCTCTCCTGGCTATTGCTGCCTCAAATATCTCTCTGTACTCCGAGCTTCAGTAGTCGTGTACATTTCTCTCTCCTTGTCGTACAACGAGCGTTCCGCAACTGCATGAACCCGGTCTTCGCCCTCGGAGCCGCATTTATTTGCAATTGAACTCGTCGTCACCGCTTACGTCGTCGACGGCTGTGCCCCCAGTCCTAAGTTTGATCTTCAGCTTACTCCCTGCATCCATTGGTTCATGTAGGTGCTCCTTGAACCCTATTCCTTCTTTCAGTATGTATTTCTAGTCTGATTTCCTTGGCTAGGTTTTGTTCTTTTTCTCCCTCGGCAGAAGCCACCATATGGGAGGGCGGGCGGGTGTACTCACAGCCGTGCATGCCGTAGCCGTTTGACCACCTCGCTCGTCGCATCCCTACAAAGCCGGGACGGAGCACGCCGGGCTTTCACCGGACCAGACTAGCAAATCACCAAACGCGAAGCGCCGTGAGGTATTCGGCGAGTCGCATGGAGGGTGCGCTGCATCCTGCTAAGGGTGTTCGGTATCTCGTGCTTATACTCCATGCATACGGATGACACCTGCGAACGGCTCAATAAACATATTTTCATGTGTTTTCACATAGCTTCCAGAGACAGCTGTAGTGTTCAACTGCTGTACCTCGAGGGTGCTTGGCCAATCTAGAACAACGGGGTGCGTGGTGCGTGGTGCGTGGTGCGATCATTCCCCTTTTTTGCGCGGAGTGAGGGTTCTCGACCCCGCACAACATGATCTACTCGGCCACCATCATGGATACCGCAAACGAAAACCGAAAAGGCAACGCCCTCCCCCCGGCAATCTGGTTGACGAACTCAGTAAGCGATCGGCGTGTTCTACAACGTCCTTGCCAAGCGACGAAACCCCAAACAAGGAGTGTGGTGGCTGGGTGTGTGTGTATAACATGCAGGTCCAATCGCACATTTGGCCTCAAGCCGTGCAACGAACCCTCTTTTCATTGTAGTGCTCCTTTGACGGGTGAGTACGCGCCAAGTAGCAAGTCTTGGAGACGTCGAGGTTGAAGATGGTAGTGTCAAACCCGACTCCAAGTCTTCAAGACCAGCCAGTGATTGCGTTTTCCGGAATCATTCCATTTGCCGACACATCGACAACGGTCCAGATCTAATCTGCATCGAGGATGCTGACATGAGTTCCATGAGTTCGTTGTCACCTCGAGCGATTGGAGCTAGCTGTTGACGATTTCAAAAGCACGCTGGCGAACGGCAACAATCAAATTCTTCGTCGAGTGGGCGCATAGGGGTCAACCTTGTCATAACTGATTAAGGCAAGTAGATTACGACGAGGTGGAGTTGGGGTTAGAGGTCTGGATCGCAGGGTTCTGGACGACGATGACTAGGGTGGATGGGAGTACGTGATGGCGCAATAGTCGAACCTGGTGCATGTCGCAAAGGGTATAATTTTGCCGGCACATGCATCAACACCATGCGGTCTGACGACTTTCATGCACAACCAAAAGGTGACGCAGCTCCTGCTCTCGGCAACGAGGTGCTTTCAAACAGCGTCCAAAGTCATTACCATGGCATCAATGATAACCCCATATCAGAGAGGTCATGGTATCGAACATGACCCTGATGCGGACCAGAGATGGATGCACGCTTACAATGACCCAGATTTATCCACGGCGGTAGTCCCAATCGGCTGAACGCAGGAACAAATTTGTACCAAATACGTTGGACGACCTAAACCATAGATGTTGCATGTCGGAATGGATAACACAGACTAAACATCCCACACACCGTGCCAAGGAGCAACTCACGGTTCTCGAGAGCCACGTGTTTCATGAATCTGGACCATAGATTTTGCTCGAGCATCCGTACGACGTCGTTGAGTGGTTCCTGGAGAATGCTCGCCCTTGCGTCGACGGCGAGCTGATCGAACATCTCCCTGCAGGTTTCGGTTGTTTTCAGAAACGTGCTCGACAAACTAAAACCCAACCGCGTGTGCCCCAATCCTCACAGTGCTTAGCACCAGGGAAACGAGCGAAGCGGGTGAGATACAGCGCACAACTATGATCCCAACGAGCTGGGCTAACCAGGCCGTGATGATCAGCGGTGACATCAGTCTACTCGCTGTGCGCTTTGCGCTATTCCATATCGCACCTAAACAAAGCGCTGGATTCCGACCATGTACGTGAGGAGCTTGTTCACCACCTACCTTGGTCTGAAAGCAGCCACGTGCTTGCTGGTGGCGCTAGAGATATTGACCTCATCTGGAGATGTGCGCAGCAAGTACTTGTCTGAGATCATGGTAAAGGCCATGAACTGCTCGTCTGCATCAGTGGCGTCCTGAAGCACAAACCAGAAGGCGAACACAGCAGTGTTTAGTGAGCTGGCCGACACTGTGATATGGACTGTAAGATATACTCGTAGCATAGTAATGTGGTTGAATAAGAGGCATGGATCTACGGAGATTGCAGGTGGTAGATTGCGGAGGAACAGGGAGTTTCTGCTTGGTTTCTTCGGAGATCCGATGAGTGATCTGAATTGCGTGACGGGTAGGTGTGGTGATGCACTCTTCTGTTCCTCGCCTTCTTGTGTTCTCTGCTGTTCCCTCTTCTCTCTAATACAAGACTTTCCCATCTCGGCCCTCACTGGCCGAGTAGCCTTTCTCCACAAACCTACAAGCTTCGGCCTACCCGGTTTATCCAACACGCTAGCGTTAACGACTTTGTCGAGGGTGATTGGGTAGCACCGATGGGCAGCCGCATGCGCGGCTGACGACATCCAACCAGACGAAGAGGCCAACAGCGGCGAGGGCCTGCACAGCAGCAGCACCCACAAGACCTACAGCAGCGCTCCCAAGACCTACAGCAGCGCCATCGTTAGCTGGAGCCCGCCGTCTACTGGGCTTGTAGGCATGAACAGGCACGTGATGACTTGTCAGTTTTCGACTGCTGTCGTTACGTGTACACACACCCATCCATGCGATGATGCGGTACGCCTACCTACATAGTGCCGTCAGATTCTAAACGCGGTATTACGCCGTGCGGTACTGCCGTCAAACACCAACGCTTACTCCAACTCCACCTCCACCCGGTACTGCCGTCAAACTCTCTCTCCAACTCTTTCTCTAGTATAATCGCGGCAACACGCTGCGCGGTAAAGCCGTCAAACACCAACAACACTTGCTCCATCAAAACGCGACAATACGTCGTGCGGTACAGCCGTCAAACTCCACCGCTCGGTCAAAGGCCGACTACCTGTAGCAAATGGGTAGACACAATCCAGGTTACCAGTAATCCTCAAAAACTGATGCCAGTTTCTAAACTGATGATATTGTGTGTGCGTGTAGCATGGTATTAGAAATAGTATTGTGCGTAATGTAATGCTGCAGTGATTGGCGAAGTTGTGTGCTTTGTCTTCCTGACAGCCGTGCTGAGACCAACTTTCTCTCGCCGGCAACAACGTGATCAACGTTTTATCTGGGCTCTCTTTGGTAGCTACTTTTTGAGCAACAGGTTTAGCCTGATCAAAAATGCGTGATCAACGTTTTATCTGGACTTTCTTTCGGTAGCAGGTTTAACCTGATCAAAAACTTTTCATGTCTTGGTTGTGTTAGCGAGTACCACAGACGTGTGTGTGAAGTCTCAGCGACGTGCAACATTGATTGGTACATCCACCTTGTTGCAGATTAAAAATCCACAATATTGACGAAATAAATGCTGATTTCCGAATATTGTTATACGTTGTCTTGAGGTTGCTATTTGTTGTGAGATTGCGGTTACAAAGTTGTGAAAGTTTCGACTTAGGATTGATTACCCTTTGTTTGGAACAGGAGCAGCGGCTGAATTATGATTTTGTGATAGAGGACTAATCAACCTCCGTTTCAGGATGATATTCAGCTATCTATGTATTGAGTGGCAATGTCGCAGTGATCGGTAATTTCAGACAAACATTGCACAAGTAGGATCCAATGACTTGAAAGTGTATTTCATTTATTGTTTTTTCTGCTGCAGTCACTACTGTGCAGAACCGGGGGGAATGTTGGTAGTATGTGATTCTCTTCAGCAGTGCTGGTTTGTTCGGAACTAATCTGCCGCCATCTTCTCCAAACGCGCGACCTGCCCTGCACCACCGCCGAGTCAATCCTCCGGGAGCGACAAATGTTCTTCCCCCACGTCAGGCGGACGCAAACATCCAAGCTC